GCCCTTTTATCCCCTCTCTGACCTCAGCAGCCCGGTCCAATCGAAGCTGCCCATACTGGCCACAAGCTGACCAATCTACCAAAGCATCCCTGACTACCTGGGCCCGCGCGCCGGGCTTTTCCCCCTTGCCCAGGTGACCAGAGCATTCAGGCGCCAGGCTTTTGTCATGCAGACAGGGAGGGAGATCCCCGCCCTGAGGGATTCAACACCAGCCTCTCAGGCTGGCAGAGACAGGTCTCTGGAGAGGGGCACAGACAGTGGCATTTCTGCCACACAAACCATCCCAGACACCTCCTGGTCTGGCCAGTTCCTGACGCTATGCAATCAACCTTGCTGCCTGGCACCCAGGCCCATGGCCCAAAAACATGAGAGCCCCCAAGCCTGTCCCAGGGAGAGCCGGGGACAAAGGCTGGAGGGTCCTGCTGCTGCCAAGAGGGTTACTTGACTTGAGTGAGCTCAGGCCCAGGCCATGCCCTCACTGCAGAGGAAGGCAAAATTCCCCAGTCTGGACCAGTCTAAGCAGGGGAGAAATCCCTTCCTGCCCCAGTACAGTGTTGGTCTAAGCCTAAGCACAGGGGCAAGACCCTCCACCCAGGACCCTGCGGGGTTGGTCCCACAGGAGCTTTGGCACAGCACTGGGCTAGGCTACAGCCAGCACCCAGCTGTTGAGGAAGAAAACCCGCCTGACATGTGTAGCAACAGGAGGCAGGGAAATCCCTTCCCACCCCTTATGGACACCTGCAAAATCCCAGAGCCTGGGGCAGCCACGCACCAGGCAGCCTGGGCACAGCAAGCAGAGCCACCCCTCAGCCCTCTCCCCGCACAGCCAGGGCTGCCGCTGTGCTCCCCCAGTTATAAGGAGTTATAACATGCACTTCTCTGGGCTCCTTATAACCTTCCTCACCCAAGCCACTGTGAGCACTGCTTCCTTCGCCCACTGCTGAGCACGGTGCTCCTCGACCGCCCTGCTCCGGCTGTAGAGCAACCTTCGTCGCCTCTGTGCCGATGCACATGTGTGAAGGGAGAGGGAGCTTCTACTCATGCGTGTGTGTGTGGGAGGGGCAGCTTCTAGCAGGCCCCGCTCTGGAGCCCACCCTTCCCTGGCCTGTTCCTTTGCCCCCTGCTCTGACAGGGAAGAAGTTTTTCCTCATATCCAATTCAAACTGGCTTTGTAACTTCTAGCCATTGGTCTGCCTCCTTGTCTTTGCAGCAGGAGAGAAAAGCTGCTTTCCATCTCCTGCATGGCAGCCCTTCAGGTGTTTGCAGACTGCTGCCAGGTCCCCTCTTAAGCACCTTTTCCACAAGCTGAACATGTCCAGCTCCTTCACCCTCTCCTATGACTTGACTTCCAAGCCCTTGAGCATCTTTGTTGCTGCCTCTGGACCCTCTCTGGCTTCTCCACCTCCTTTTCAAAATGCAGAGCCCAGACCTGCATGCAGTATCCAGATGAGGCCAAACTAGCAGCAGATCCCAGGCCCACACCCCTGCACAGTGCTGGGGCAAGGGCAGCCAGCCCGGGTCTGAGCACCGCCAGAGCAGACTGCAGCTGGGAAGGGAGGAGACACTGCATTCCCACCCCCAGGCCCCGGCATTGGGCCAGCACCCCCTGCCCGCGGGACTCAGGAGCCCCAGGGTTCAGCTGTCCCTACAAGACCCCTGTTCGGGGACAGGGTGGGTCACCCAGCCCCTCACTCTGCAGCAGGCCCAAGCGCCTGTGCCCCATGCAGGGGTGGTCAGTCCCCCGCCCTCTCCCTCCCTCCGGCTCACACCCTTTCGGCCCCCTGCAGACGGGCTCTTCGTGACCGACTACTTCACCCGCACGCCGCGCAAGCTCAGCCCCTTCCGCTCCTTCGCCAGCATCGAGCTCTTCCACTTTCACATCCCTGAGGACACCGTCATCGCCGTCTGGAACCTCATCACCTTCAAGGAGCAGGGCGGCACCTTCGGGGACCAGTGCCCGGACCGCAGCGTCACCGTGTGAGTGCCAGGGCTGGGCCGGGACTGGGCAGGGCTGGGCCGGTCCTGTATCTCTGGCTCCTGCCTCCTCTGCAGGGCTGGAGCACCGGGCTGTCTGGCTTGGCCCTGCCGTGTCTGTCCTGAGCACTGCTCTCATGGGGTCGGTGGGCCCTGCACATAACGAGTCCCTGCTGCATGCCCTGCCTGGGTTTGCTCTTGGAGCTGGTGGCCCTCAGCCCTGCAGTGCTTGGCCTGTCTCCCTGATCAGGGACCCATGCAGCAGGCAGCTGCTTGCCCTATGCTGCTGCTGGAGAGGTGAAGTGACTTGACCAGGGCTACAGAGGGAGTCAGTGGCAGAGCGAGTGCTTGGCTTCCCAATGCAGCTGCCAGGGAACTGGCCCTGTCCTCCTGCCCAGCTCCTTCCCATGTCACCTCTCACGGCTCTCTGCCTGCAGGTACTTCCGCTCAGGGGCTCCTCCTGTCATCAACCCCCTCCACACCCACTTCCCCCGGGACACAGCCGTGCCCGGCTCCTTCGCCCTGACCCTCACCTGGACGCTACCCAACCGGACGACCGGCGTCTTCAATGTCACCAGCCCGCTGCCTGGCGACTGGTTCCTGGCTGCCCACCTGCCCAAGGATGATGGCAAGATCTCCGTCAAGGTGAGTGGGTGCCGGGGAAGTTCCAGGGTCCAGACCCCTTGCCGTGGGCAGGTCGGGCCAAGGCCCTGCATGGCTGCCCATGACAGAGTGGGGGCACAGCTTGGGTCTGACTGCCCTGCCCCACGCTGACCCCTGGCCCGGTGGCTCGCAGGGCCTGTACGAGGAGTGCCAGTACCTGTTCCAGCCTCAGCTCATCGTGCAGCGCCTGGTGGGCATCGCCGTGCTCTACCCTGGCTATGTCACCAGCCAAAGCATCGCGCCCCACAACCGCTCCAGCCTCTACAAGTGTGTGGGGGTGCCAGCATGGGGCTTTCTGCTGGGGGTGGGATGTGCCATGTCCCGGGGGGATCTTCCCAGTTGTTCTGCATTCAGGGTCCTCTACTCAGCGCCTGGGCCAGGGCTCTGACTTCTCTGTATCCAGCCCTGTGCAGCAGGGCAGGGCTGGGCATGGACTCCGGTCTGTTGACATGGCACCCTGGAGCCGCCCATCCAACAGCAGCCCCAGCTACCTGTACCCATCCCCCTCCCCATCCAGACCCACTGCCCTTCTCCTGGGACCCCCATTCCCTGACCTCAGAGCAGCCCCACGTCGGGTCCTGCTGACCCTAGACTGGAGCTCGCTGCCCCAGTGCCAGTACCAGGGAGGCGGGGTCCTGGGTAGCTGAGGGGGGTGGGAGCTGCCTTGGGAATGAGGCCGAGGCTTGACGCTGGCCGTGCCTGCAGGGTCTTCGTGCCCAGCTACACTTCGCGGGTGCTGGTGCAGGTGCTGCAGTGCCATACCTCGGACCGTGGTGCCCAGGGCTGCCCACTCTGGCTGCGGGTGAGGCCCAAGGCACCCCCGCTGCACAACTCCACAGCGCGGGACTGCCGGGAGCGGGCACCCTGCCAGCTGGCACTGGACCTGCCCTTCTGGCAGCAGTGGTACTACGTGCTGGTGGAGAAGCACCCGGGCACGCCAGGCACCATCTCCTTCCAGGTCACTGTGCAGGTCACAGGTGAGGAGCTGGGCAGGGGCACAGTGGGGCAGGGACCCCACAGGCCAGGCAGTCTGGAGATAGGAATCAGGATGGAGCCAGGCCCCAGGAAATTAGGAGCTGGAAGCTGTGGGCTGGCTAGAGGCCCTGCTGGTGCAGCTGCCTGTCAGCCCAGCTTTGAAGCCTGCAGCCCTGCACGTGCCAGGGCAGCTGGGAGTGATTTCTCCTGCCTCCTGGCAGCTTAGGAGCTTGGACTCCTGGGTTCCTTCCCAGGTCCACTGCAGGTGGTTGCTCCGTGCCTCAGTTTCCTTTCTGGGAGAGGGGCAGGCCATGGCTGACCCCCAGGGCTGCATTCAGGCAGGTGGCTCAGTGTCCATGGGGCTGGGGGTGCCAGGGGAACAGGGTTCTCAGCTTCACAGCCCCACCCCTATTTCATTCCCCTCCCCGCTGCTCACCTCCATTATAGCCAGCCCTGGCACGTGTTCTGGGGTAGGCATGTGGGCAGGTTTGTCATGGGGGGCTGTGGTGAGCAGTGGCCAGAGCTCCCCACAGGTGGGATGGCCAGGGGGCATGGGGCTGTCTGTCCTGGGGGGGCTGGGCAGGGGAGGCCTTTGCTGACGATGCTGCTCTCTCCCTGGCAGACTGTTCCCGGCCTAGCCTGGCTCGAGTGCCCTTCCTGCCACCTGGCGCTGCCATGAACATGCCACAGTCCTTCGGCTCTGCGTCCAGCTTGGCGCCGGGTGATGGCCTGCCCCCTGCACCTGCCAATGGCACCATGCGCCCCAGCCCTGGCCCCGGCCCTGGCCCCAGTGCTGAGCGGTGCTGGCCCATCCGACCTACGCTGCGCAATGAGCTGGACACCTTCTCGGTGCACTTCTACATCTTCTTTGGGCCCAATGTATCGGTGCCACCTGAGCGCCCTGCTGTCTTTGTCATCAACCTCCTGCCAGTGCTTGACAGCGGTGGTGTCCTCAACCTCGAGCTCAAGCTCAACGTGGTGTGTGGGTGCAGGACACCTGGTGCAGCTGGGGTGGGATAGCTGGGGGCTGCGGGTTGGGAGTGAGGGGTACCGGCATGGCTGGGGTGGCGCAGCAGAAGGTTGTGGGTTGGAAATAAGGAGCACCAGCATGGCAGGGGCACTGGGGTGGGGTAGCAGAGGGGCTGCAGGACAGAAGGAAGGACACCAGTAGGGCCATGGGATACAGGGTTGTGGGGCTGTGACTGGGGGCACAGGCATTGCTGGGAGGCACTGGGTGTGGGGTAGCAAGGCAGGATCTGTGGGTTGGGGTGGGGTAGTGGGCACTGGGGCTGGATCCCCAGCTCCATGACTTGCTCCCTGGCCCCTCTCCAGTCCTCCCTGTGGGGTGAGAACGTGACGGTCTTTGGGTGCCTGAACCACGAGGTGCCGCTGACGTTGGGGGACAACAGCTCTGTCACCTGTGAGACAGGTAGGGGTGGGCCCACGGCTCCCAGCGTGGGGCGCTGGGGCTTGGCTGGAGGGGCAGAGCTCTCTCTAGTGGTGCTGGGGGGTGCTGGGTGGGGTCATCCAGATGCTGGGGCCTGTTTGCCCTGGCTGGAGCAGGGTGGGGGGTTGTCCAGGGTCCCGCCCCGCTCAGCACAGCCCCCACTTTCCCTCCCTGTCCCCACAGAGTCCCTGGCTGGGTTCCTGCTGTCCGTCAATGCCACAGCCAACCTGAGCCGCCTGCGCATCCCCTACCCCCAGACCGGGAGCTGGTACCTCAGCCTGCGCTCACTTTGCACCACCGACCGTGGGTAAGTGCCCACCACAGCCCTCGGTTGGGGTGCTCAATGTAGGGGAGATGAGGGGATCTGTGGCTTGGCCCTTGGAGTGGTCTAGGCATCCTGTGAGAGCACAGCAGGAGGGGCAAGGAGCTTGCATGGGCTGGGGCCTAGCGGGGCAGGTGATCGATGGGTGATCCCAGCACGGCCAAGGTGTGGGAGATGCAGGGACTGGGCCCAGGGAGGTGAGCCATGGGTCCACTCTGAGCCTATGGGCACATGTATGTGCAAGTCTGCATACCCGTGTCTCCATGCTGGGGCCCATGCTGACGCCTTACCCCATAGACTTGAGCCATGTGCCAATGCGACGGCAGAGGTATACCTGCGCACCTACCTCTCACCCTGCATCAATGACTGTGGCACCTACGGCCAGTGCAAGCTGCTGCGCACCAACAACTACCTGTACGCTGCCTGCGAGTGCAAAGCAGGTGAGACCGTGCCCCCCGCCCCATGCAGCACTCTGCTCATCTGGGCCCACTTGCTGCCCTGAAGCCTGGACAAGGGGTCACCCCCTGCTGGCCCTGGGGAGGGGGAATATCCTAGCCCATACCCTGATCCCCCAGGCCCGGCCCTGCTCAGCTGATGGGGTTGTTGCCTGCAGGCTGGAACGGTTGGGGCTGCACAGACAATGCGGAGGCCTTCTCCTACGGCTTCCAGCTGCTCTCCACACTGCTGCTCTGCCTTAGCAACCTCATGTTCGTGCCTCCAGTGGCCATTGCCCTGCGCAGCCACTACCTCCTGGAAGCCTCCGTCTACATCTTCACCATGTTTTTCTCTACTGTGAGTCCCTGGGTGGGATGGGTCAAGGGGCAGGCTGGGGCGGTGCCCTCCCTTGGATGGATCTAGGAGTTTGAAATGGGGGGGTGGGGGGGAAGATGGTGCAGGGTGCCAGCTCATTCAACACAGCATCAAGTTTCCTCCAGTTAAAAGTAAATGAGAAGCATCACCAGTGCACCCAGGGCCTCAGGCTGGGTTGCTCTGTGCAAGATGAGAGCAAAACCAGATAGAACTTCATTGCAGTAGGTTCAAGGCAGTCTGCAGGGCTCAGAGAGCAGCCTGGCAGAACAAGGAGCAGCCTGATGGAGGCACATCCAGGCCATTAGAAAGGAGAGAGGGGCAACAGCACTGTCCCAGCTGCCTGCGGTGGGTTCGGGATTGAGAGTATGGTCGGGGGTAGAGAGGTAAGAAAGGTTTACTGACTTAACAAAAACACAACTACGCACAGTAACAAGACAAACAATGACAGACAAGAACAATCCACGTCAGCAACTTATCGGCAGTCCCCTCTGATGCCTGATGTACAACAAGTTTCTCTTTCCACAAAGTTCAGCGAAGTCAGGCGTCCCCGATCAGCGCTGTCCAAGGGGTACCAGGAAGGACCCTAGTATTCAGTCCTTGGGCTCCTCGAGATCCACGGGCCCGCTGATCCAGGCCAACAGCTAAATAATCCTTTTCACAGAGCTGTATCTTCCTTCTGAATAATTTCCAGATGTTTAGCTAATTTATAGCTTCTGAACAGTACCGATAACGTACAGCCACTCAGATTCCTTTTACTTCAACTGTCCTTAGACTGACCAATAGCGGTACAAGCTTTGCATTCCTTTGATAAAGTTTATTTTAACTACGCCACAGGGCCTTACTACTTCAAGGCTTTGCTAAATTTACTAGGCCTTACTTTGTACAAGGCCTTACTACATCTTAAACTTTAATTAGGCTCTTAGCAACAACATACAGCTTAATATCTACACACATACAGAAAAAAACACTTGGTCTAATCTTCATAGAGCCTTCAACAAGCACCTTTATCACACAGACATAATTTCAGCTGTCACAGCACCTGTGGAGTGAAGAGGTTAGCAGGAATCGGTGGCTGACAATGAGCCAGGAAGTCAGTGCTGCCTGACTGAAAATGTGGCAGCCACTGCCAGACTGCTGGTTTTAAGCTTTGGGAGAAGCAGGAGTTGAAGGGGGGCAAGTGCACCAGTGTATCCATCCAACCTCCCCCCATCCTGTACTCCATGGTGCACACGGGGCTGCAGGCAGTCCTCCCTGAGTGCTTCCAGGCAGGGGACTCTGGTGCCCTGTTCCCTGTTTGGCTGGGCAGAGACACACACAGCCAACCAGCTGAACTGTGCATCTGGGGCTGGACAGCATGTCTAGTGGTGAGATGGGGGACACCTGTGGGTGGGAGCTGTGGGGGGATCCCTGCAGGCATGTGGGGTGCGCTCAGCCCCCCGCTCCACCCCCAGTTCTATCATGCCTGCGACCAGCCGGGCATCGTGGTCTTCTGCATCATGGAGTACGACGTGCTGCAGTTCTGTGACTTCCTGGGCTCCCTCATGTCCGTCTGGGTCACCGTCATTGCCATGGCCCGGCTCCAGCCTGTCGTCAAGCAGGTGAGCGTCAGGAGCAGGTGGGGGGCTGGTATGGGGGGGTGGTGATGCCTGGCACTGGGCACGGGGTCTGCCCCTGCCCCAGCCTGCAGTGTGCTGGGCCAGGAGATACCTCCTTGCTCCCCCAGCCCCCTGCTCGCTTCATGTGGGTCTGTGCCCTGGCCCCCCGGCTGGCAGGGGGAGAGGGAAGGGGCTTGGGGGAGCAGGGAGTAGGCACGGGCTGCAGTGTGGGCATACCCTGCCCTCTGCTCTGGCGCCAGGTGCTGTACCTGCTGGGCGCCATGCTGCTCTCCATGGCCCTGCAGCTGGATCGCCACGGGCTCTGGAACCTGTTGGGGCCCAGCCTCTTCGCCTTAGGGATCATGGCCATCGCCTGGGTAAGCCTGTGGGTGCCATGTGGGTCATCAGCCTTGGGGCAGAAACCACCTCCCCTGCATGGCCCCCACCTCATCCCCCCATCCCTATTTGCCTGCAGCTACCCTCCATGCTGGCCGCGCTCCCAGCCCCCACGGGGCCTCTGACACCAGAGCTCCGCACCCTGCAACCCCCCTGCCCCTACAGGTCCCCAGGGCATGGGTCTGCGCCCGGCAGTGTCTCCACTCCTGCCAGCCCTGCACCCCTGTGCCCAGTGCTTGCCATCCCCTCTCGCCTACAGACGGCCCGTAGCATCCGCCGGCGCCACTGCTACCCGCCCACCTGGAAGCGCTGGGCCTTCTACCTGTGCCCGGGGGCGCTGATTGCGGCAGCCGCCGTGCTGCTCTACGCCTTTGTGGAGACGGAGGAGAACTACTTCTACATCCACAGCATCTGGCACATGCTCATCGCTGGCAGCGTCGGCTTCCTGCTGCCACCCCGTGCCAAGCCCGACGGGCGCCTGGCCCCGCTGCCCCGCCGCAAGGGTTGCGGATACCAGCTCTGTGTCAACGAGCAGGAGGAGCTGGGGCTGGTGGACCCCGGCGCTGCCTCCATCAACAGCATCTGTGCCAGCTGATGGTGCCTGCCTGCCCCCGTGGCACAGACCAGACTCACTGCCGCGGGCACCGGGGCACAGCACTGCCCGTGCCCCCTGCCATAGCCACGGACACTGGGCTCCCCCTCCCGGGCCCCACATTCACGTCCCGCCGCCTGGGGCGAGCCCTCTGCGGAGCCGCTGGGGCAGGGGCAGGGGCAGGCTGGCACGGGGTGGAGGCACCAGCACCGGGACACTGGGACCTTTCCAGTGGCAGGCACCGTCCCTGGGGACCTGTCCCCATGTAATTGCAATTACAACCTGATTGAACTGGGTGCGGCGGCGTCGGCACAGCTCAGTCCCCAGGGGCAGCGGGCACAGGCAGCCAGCTGAGTCTCGGAGCCATGTGGCCCCAGGAGGGACTACAGTGCCGGGGTGCTGTGAGGTGGGGAGCAGAGCCCTGCCAGGGAAACGGGCAGGGCTGTGGGGTCCCACAGGCCGGTGGCCACAGACAAGGTGATGCCCCAGCGGAGAGATCGGGGCGAGGGACATGGGGTGTTGGCTTCAGCATGGGCTGTGCCCGAGCCCAGTGCAGCCCAGCTTGGCACCCTGGGGCTCCCTGCCCCCCAGTACGGTAGAGCTGGGAGGGAACAGCTCCTTGGCCTGGTTGCAGGAGGCCGTGGGGCCGAGTGGGGGCAGCTCCACCGCATTTGGTCCTGGCCTGGGCCCAGCCCCAGCTCCAGCTCCAGCAGGGTCCAAAGCACCCTGGGCCAGGGGCTCCTCCCATCACTGACACCCATCATGGACCCCCTCCTCACCCAGTGCTCCCAGCCCCCAGCACAATGGGGCTGGGGCCACAGGGAAACTGAGGCACAGAAGCCACAAAATCTCCTTCAGCTGCTTGGAGCTGGTCAGTGGCTGAGCTGGAGATTGAACCCAGGAGTCCTGGGCCCCCAGCACCTCCTGGGACCTTCCACAGCCCCACCCTGGCCCAGCCAGGACCCTCTGGGCATTTCTCAGCAGTGCATGGTTGGGCCCTGGGTCTTCAGAGCAGCTTTGAGAAGGGTCCCCCTCTGCTCTCCCCAACTCGGGGAGGACACCTGCAAGGCTGCAGCACCTCCTGCCTGAGACCCCTCCACCTTGGTGCTGCCCGTGGCTCCCAACCCCCCAGCCTGTGCCCTGCCACTCCAGGCAACTGCACTTGTAATGGGCTGGGGAAACTGAGGCAGTGGGGAAGGCCCCAGGCAGGGCCACACAGGGGTCGGGCCACAACCCAGGAGTCCTGGCGGCCAGAGCCTTCCCACAAGGCCGGGCTCCCAACACAGGCCCCGGCCTGGGTGCAGAGAAGCCTTATGCCCCCAGGTCCATGCAGCTGAGCCCAGGTGGTTGGGGGCAGCAGCCCCACATACCCTGGGAGACATGCCCAAGGGGCTCCCATCCCCACCCCAGCAGACCCCTCAGCAGCAGGCAGCTCTGGGCGCAGCAATCGTTGCTCTTCCCTTGCAGCAGAGCCTGGGGTCTGGGCCAGGATAGTGGGGTTTGGCCAGGCCAAGGGCCAGCCTCAGGCCGCACTGCACCCAGCAGGCAGGTGGTGGGAGGCCAGTGTATGGGCACTGCCTGCACACCCTGCGGTGATGCTGGGCACAGTCTCCCAGGCCCACGGCTGCCCGGGGTAGAACGCAGCACTGATCCTGGCATCCGCGGGCAACCAGCAGCTCTGTCCCCAGGCAGGAGCAGGTCTGTGCAAGTCCCTGTGGGGCTGAGACATCATTGCCCCTATGACCAGCCTGGCACTGCCAACCTGGTGCTCCCTCCTTAGCCACGCAGCCCCATGGGTACCTGCCGCCACCCCCAGCTAAGCGTGGTGTGGGGCATGGTTCACAGGGCAGCCAGTCCAGCAGACAGCACAGGGCTCCTGGCCCCTGGCTCTGTCCCCAGACATGGGCCAGGCCTCTGGAGCCCCCCAGTCCCCAGGCCTGGCATGGGAGGGGGACAGGCATTGCCCACTGCTCCTCAGTCCCCTCCTCCCAGCCTCTCCCCCTGTCTGTGAGCTCAGGGGCTGCCCAGGAGTGGGGATCCCACATCATCACCTTTGGGGCCAGCCCAGCAGCAGCAGGTGGGGTGAAGATGTGGACACGGTGGAGAGCAGAGATGTCAGCCTGCAGCCCCTGCACCCAGGAAGGCACTATTGCAGAGCCAGACCTGGGCAGGGCAGGGCAGGGCATGCAGCCACCTGCCCTTGGTTGTCCCACTGGGCTAGGCCCCCCCATGCTGCATCTCCCCCAAGGGCAAGCCCCGAGGCAAAGAGGTTTCTGCCTGCCTAAAGGGATTAGTGGCTCCATTGGGAGCCTCCCTAATAGGATTAGGAGCCAATTAAAGCGAGATCCATCCCAGCAGACATCCAGGACGGGGACTGGGGGGTGGTGGGGGAGTGGGAAGAGTCTGAGGTGGGAAGAGGGCAGGCACCAGAGCAGCCCCCACATGGGCCTATTTGTTCACCTTCAGTACAGCCCCCATGTAGGATGCAACTGCATCCCAGGGGGGCTAGTTTGGTGGACACTGGCCTGGCACAGCCCATGCCCAGCCCTTGCTCCAAGGCGGTGCTGCACAGAAATGTGGCTGGGTCTGGGGGCAGCTGCTGTGGGAACCCATCCCCATCCCTGCTGGGCTGCAGCCCCTGTGGTACTGGGGGGTACCACCAGCATGGGGGGACAGGGTCACATGTGTGTGAGCCCACCAGCTGGCCAGGGCTGGGGCCAGGGCTGGCTGGGTGCATGAGTCTGGCAGTGCAGGGCAAGCTACATCATGTGTGGTTGTTCACATGCGTGTGCTGTGCCAGGGTGTGTGTACATTCATGCTGGAGCACGGCGGCATGGCCAGCAGCACCACATGGCACACGTGCCCTGGCCCATTCTGGTTTGGGGCACTCATGTCCTTGCACCTCTGGCCACTGCGGGTTGGTTGTTCATCTTCTTGGTGACCCTGTGGGCTGCACTCTGGGGCTCTGAGCAGTGGCATGGCCCAGGTGCAGCGGGGGCCTGGTGTCTCAGGACAGCGACTGAGCCTTGCTTTGCTCTTAGCAGCTGCTTTATGGAGCCTGGGGTGCCCCCATGGCTAGTGGCTGCATCAACGGGGCTGGGGTCAGCTGCACTCCAGCGACATCAGGGGCTGCATGACCTCTCTGAGCACAGGGATGGAAACAGCCCACCCCAGGTCCTCATCTCCCTCCCCATCCATCAGCAGTGCATGCAGGGGCTGCACAGGTGCACTTGCTCCACCCAATGCTGAAAACCAGCTGCCTGGCAGTGCCCGGTGGTGCTCGGAGCCTTCCAAATCCAGCAGCACTGAGGGGGTCACGACCTCCTGGCTCATTGCCATCCACCTGACCCCTTCTAAGATCTTCATTGACTCTCTCTCCTTTCTAATGCCCTGGATGTGCCACCCCTCAGGCTGCCCCTTGCTCTGCCAGGTTGCTGTCTGTCGGCTGCTCCTGGTCCTGAAGCTCCTGTTCCACAGCCCGGCGGGGTGTTTAGAGCTCCTTCCGTTCGGTTTGTCTTGGCTTCCACCTTGAAGGGAATGACCCAGCCCAAGGCCCTGGGCCTATTGGTAAAGCTTCTCATTTATTTTTAATGATGCTGTGTTGGACGACCTGTGGCCCACGCTGTCTGCCCCCCGCCTCAAACTCTGACACCCGCTCATGCCACCAGTTACCACCAGCGCTGTTGCACTGACAGCGACAGCAGGCAGGGAGCTGGCTCCTGGCCTGGCACAACAGGCTCCAGGACCCGCTCCAGAGAGGCCCCCAAGGGCACCTGGGTCCAAGGTGGGCGGCGAGGTCACTTGTGCATTCCCTGTAGGTTGTGGCGCTGAGGCAGCCTGGGCTCCTAGCAGGGGGTGCCTTCCAGGGGGGTGGTTTCCCCTTCCCTAGCCCCCTTCCCCAGGCAGGCATGGCCTGGCCCATGGCAGACCGGAATGAGCTGCGGCACGGCCTCGGCCCCCCCAGGAAGCAAAGCTGTCTCGTGGCTGGACCACGAGGAAAGGCGGTTGCTTGCAGCTTGGAGGTTGTGCCTGGGTGCAGAGCTGAGGGCGAGTGACTCCGAGCTACCAGCTCTCACGTGCTGGGTTTCTCCATGACCAAAGACAGTGGCCGTGGTGTCTTGTGCATGGGCAGGTGGCTGCTGCCAGGGCCCAGGCAGGGTCCACCATGGCCACGTGAGCAGGACAAGTGGCTGCAGGGCTCGGAGCTGCTGCATCTGTGTATGGCCCCATGCCATCTCTGTGGGCTCTCACCATCTTCCTCCTGGCCCTGGAAAGCCGGCTGCCTGGAGGAAGGGCTTTCTGTGGCAGGATAGGAGGAGCAGGGGGACAATTAATCAAGGAGGATGTGGCTGGCACTGCCAGGGCTGGGGGAGCTCCTTTCCTACACGGGCCATGAGACCCACACGGCTGCGTCCTCAGAGCCTCCCCATGCATCTCTGTGGCTCGCCCTGGCATCTGCGCAGCAAACGGCCACTGCATCCCTGCAGCTTCCCAGCGTAGCAACCAGCTCCCCATGGCAACAGGGTCCCCATGGCAACCAGGTACATCTGCAGCATTGACATCCCCATGGCAACCGAGTACTATGGTCCCTATGGAGTACAGGCAGCTACCGAGGATACCAGCTTTGCCCTGATAAGGGGATGGCGGGGTTGGGGCAGGGCAGGGGACAGGGCCCAAGGGCACTGGTGCTTGGGGGCAATGCCTCTCTGGGCCCACGGTGCGGGGGGTGCAACTGGTTCCAGCGGCAGGTGGCTCAGGTCTGGCTTGGCTCTCGCCCTGGGAAGAAGCGGTGCAGCAAGGAGACAGTCCCAACACGAGGGAGGGAGGCTGGAGACGGGGCTGGGCAGGGAGGGGGCAGGTGCTGCCCTGGCCACACTCTGCCCAGAGCTCCAGCGCTAGCAGCCCTGCCAGCAGCCGGGAGCAGCCTCCAGGCCCATAAATCACAGGCCCCGACGGGCCGCATGAGCTGACAGCAGCGCTCCCAGGGCGGCGGTTGCAGCCGTTCCAACGAGCACCGGGTAATTAAATGTACTTCCCAGCCCAGCTGAGCTGCCTGCCAGAGCAGACGCCTCCGCTCCCGGCGGCTTCTGTTGGTTGGGGCCCAGCCA